TTTAAATGTACCAAAATGATAATATTTTGGTAAATATATCTAAACATATGATATCCTCAATTGTACCAAAAGTTTTTAAACAATAACAAAAAATATTCCATATTTCCAAAAAAAAATCCTATCCATGCGGTTGAAATTCAAATCTCCCTTCAACCACAACTCATTCTTATATTGTACGAGGATACACGTGTGTTTTTACAGGTACCCTCCGAGTCATGGCACCTCAAAATCACATAAGAATATTAGAAATAAAAGTCCAGCATTGCATTTGAAGCTAAACGAATGGCAAAAATTAATGCTTCTATCACGGGATCAAAGCATTTCCAGGCCTCAACCGCAATTCTAATTCCTTATCCGATACAACAGCAGGCTGACTAGATTATCGAGTCCGATCGCCATCAAACAGCGGATGAAGGTCCTATTTGTTTTCCATTATTTTATCATCTGGAAAAATTTTGCATGGTCATTAATTGTTCGCCTTTTATTTGGAGAATAATCTGTCCTCAATGAAATTATTTGTATGTTCCTTTTTGCGAAATATAGAATAAGAAAGAGGTTCGAAATTACTTTCCAATATCAGTCATGTAAACAAAAAAACGTATGTATATATATATACACATATCATTAGTTTTATGACATTAATTACCATCAGATCAGATAGTCGATTTCTATATGATTGATCTTGCAGAAAATGTGATCAAACACCAAACAAAAAAATCCAAAACGGAAGAGAGAGAGAGAGAGAGAGAGAGGGCTCTGCTCCGCTTAAAAAGGTAATAGCATTCCATTGTTGCCCGGGCTACTAATTCGTTCACCGAACGATATTTATGAGGGTCTAACTATATTTACCTCCCCTAAGGTTTATCCAAATTATGAATCAATCCTCAAGGTTTCACCAAATCACATCTACCTCCCTTGTCACTAACTCCGTTAATACCCTATTGACAGAAATTATAAAATGACAATATTTCCCTTAATCTAAATGCATCGAAGGTTAAAAAAAATAAAAATAAAATTCTTAGATCCATTATTCAGTAAAGTTTATGCAAAAGAAAAAATAATGAAGGTGTCAACTACTATTAATCTTTCTCGTGAATGTTTGGAAATCAAATAACACAATTTCAATTGCAAATAAGTGAAAAAATGCACAAAGTTTTTTTCCCCAAGGATTAGAAATCCCAAACAAGTGAAAAATGTAGATGCTTCCCCTTTGGCGTCAGTTCAAGATTTGAGAGTGAAGGAAAGGAAGAAGAAAATCTCTTTGTTAATAGTTTGAATTGATAGGGAAAATCTTCAAAAAAGAAAAAAAGAAAAATAGATATTCCATCATAAATCTCTTCATTTTTCACGAGTACTATCCTTCTTATATACTTCACCAAGTTCACCATAACCAAGCAAGCCACCATCTCTTTCTTCCTCTTTCCTCACTATTTCTCTATTGTCTTCACATGAAATTAAAGCTGCATGAATAGTACATCAAACTGGATTTGCTCAAAACTTGATATCCCATGACTTAATGTATCAACCTCTATTGGCAATTTACTCTTGGGTGTCAAAATTGATAGGTCTATACATGTTTTTGGTTAATTTTACTTTTTCGAGATTTCTATTGACAGTTTACTTTCTTTTGTTCATGTTTGTGGTTGATGTTTATTTTTTATTTTGTATTTTTCCTTGAACCTTCGCTTTATTCTATCGGAATTGTTCAATCACTATATTTTCAAATTGATGGATATGACAAACTGTTCCATGCAAGTTGTAGTATCTTTTAGGCGCTCTTGTTCCAAATTTGATTGAAAACTAAAGAAAAAATGGTGTTTGTTGGCAGTTTTGAGTTATATGTGAAAAATGGTATCAATATCGGTTTGAAGCAATTGTAAATTTGCAATGTCTCCAACGCTTTTTGGGGTGATGATAGATTTTCAATATAAAAACAAAATGGAAAGAGGAAGAAAAAGGGGAACAATACAACATTGACGGGCAAAATTAGGAATTCAGTTGCATTTTTCTGCTGGCTTGCCTGGTGATGAGTGGTCGAACATTAATTGACTAACCGGAAGGCTCTACTTGTTATGGATCATTGAGTTTGGTGGACCGTTTTGTAATTTTATCAAACTCTAAGGATTGATTTGTCGTTTGGATAAATCTCAAGGGAGGTAAATGTAATTAACCCTATTTAGGGACGAGTCCATATCAATAAAGCTAAGAATAAAAATACAGCATCAACCTTTCTATTCTGCTATTATTACTAGCAAAGTAGCACTACTTTCTTCTTCATGCAGAAACAGTGACCGAACTAATGTTCAATGCACGCGCCTACAGCATGCATTTGCCTACCTTGTACGTAGTTCTTTTTCTCTGTCTCTCTCTCTCTCGGTTTCGTAAAACAATTCTCATAATTTAAAAAAACTCTCACATAAAAAATCAAATCACTAATAATGTGATATATATATATATATGAGAAAAAAAGATTGAAAAAAATGCGTTTTGTGAATAATATATATTTTCAAATAATAACCCTTTCCAAATGAATATCTTTTGACTGGTTGTCACTGCTAAAAATCACTAGAGTGAAGAATTTTATTTGATGCAACAAAGATAAAACAGCATAAATGGTGTTAAAAAAAAAAATTTTTTTTTTTGAGTCGTAAATCTAGATGAGAGGGCTCGAGTCAACCAGACTGGGGTAGCTCTGGAGCAGCAGCGCAGAACGTGGAGCCCAACAAATAATAAATTGGCTAATCAATTCCAATCGATTGGTCTTCGACCGGTGGAGTGGTCCGGCCCCGGGGACGTGAATTTTGCCGGCAGTGTTCAACCACATGCCTGGCCAGGGAATAGACGAGGCATTTTTAGTTGAAACGATTAATAATAAATCTTCTTCATTCCATTCCATTAATTTTTAGTTAAATCACTCGAAGAAATTACTTATCCCGAGATTCACCTCACTAGTGATTTTCCACTGCGTTCTTTTTTCTTTTTTCAATATTAATAATTATAGAGAAAACATGCATGAGAATTAACTCCGCCGGTGATTCTCCTTTCAAACCGCCAAATTTGCTCATAGGTTTATGAAATGCCAAATGTCTCTATCTGACAGAGTTTACAGCAGTTAAGTATACAAAACAGCGAGCACTCTTCTAAACAAGTGACCATACGATGAGAGATCTTTCTTCCTGCTATCTCTCCATTCTCCTTCCTGTTTTGATACAAGTACAACTGGTGGTGATGATGATGATTCTCACTTTGACATCTCCGTTAACCAAATCTGACGTCTTTCCTATGGCTGGATTTCCTAATGTCTGCTTACTTTTCTTTTTTGCATGTTTTGGAATTTAGAAAAATTTATCACATTTTCTACACTTTCCAATACGAGTCCTGCAATGCCCCTCATGATTTTGATTTTGCAAGAAACTATTTTTGACACATTATTCAGAATGACTCCACTCATAAAGAACGACTTTGATTTTAAATCAGACATTTTTAAAACGATAAATATACATGTAAAATTTTTCAAAATGAAGGACCTTGTTTGGATTGCTGTTTTTCGTCGAAAAATTACGTCGTTTTCCGTGATCACATTTCCCTATTACCTTTTTCCCTCACATACATCAAATCGCTACAGTAATTTTTCCATGAAAAATGACGAAAAAAACAATCCAAACGGGATAGTTTGTTTTTAATATAGAATTTTTCATTCAAAATAGTCATTACTAACTATTGATATAATTATCACTAATTTTCAATAACTCTTAAAATTTTGTGCTTACGAGTGAAAAAGATGTGGAGACAGATGCCAGGGCTTTAAAAAATATATAAATTATCACTTTCTTTTTAAGGTAACTTTCATTTCCTATACATCACTTTCTCGCAATTAGTGTTGTTAATCGAATCGAGTATTTACCTATCGAGCTTGGTTCGACTCAAGTTTAACTCGAGTCAAGCTCGAACTCGCTTGATTAGGCGGACGAGCTTTGAAAAATATTTGGACTCGACTCGCCAAATAGGACATGTGACTCGAATTCGAGTTCGAACTCAACTTGTTTATTACAAACGAGTCGAGCTTGTATGAATCTACAATTTTCAATTTTTATATTTTTAAATTATGAAATGACATATATACCATTTGTTATCGAGTCTAATCAAGCTACTCGAATAACAGACGAGTCGAACTTACTCGACTTGTTAATTAAACGAACATATTTCGAGTTCGAACTTGACTCGTTTACCACAATTAACGAGTCAAACTCGAGTCTCGTCGAGTCGAGCTAAACCAAGCTTTCAAGCAACAGCTTTACTTGCAGTTTACCTTCACGTAACTTTCTTGATGTTTCTTCCCTTCCCATATGAAATTATTGGGGAAAAAAAAGGGAAGTGTATTGTAAAAGGAGCAGCATAACTGCCAGCATTATGGTACAATCATGGATTAGTGCACGCCATAAAACACAACCAATCACACACAACGCTGCGCGTGGTTGTAGTGAGACCTGGGAAGAAGAATGTCGCCAATGGAACCCATCACGACTACTGCTAGCTCTCTCTCCGTCTGTCTCTCTCTCTCTCATCTTTCTCCTTTCCCTGAAAGGTTTAATAAAAAGCTGCCTCGGCCGTCAGAAATATATAAATTCTCACTATTATAACAGTAACAGACACACATTTGTACCACAAATATTTTTAACTCCCTCACAAATTACTACAGTACTACTCTACTAATCTGTTTTCTCTCCCCCCTTCACTCTGTACATTCCAGTTACTACTGCACAATACAATTGCCCTAGATCCACCCTTACTTTTCCCCTTACCAAACTCTCCATACTCCTTTTCTGTATTGCAATTTCACTTAATTTCTGCTACACTCGCCAGATATCAATTTGAAGGTACTTTGAGCTGAGCCCATTTCAGTTTTCTTGCAAAATTGACTGATTTTTATGGTTGTTATGTTATATAAGCCGAATGGCATGTTTTTTGGTTAGTTTCTGACTTGGGTTTTATGAGAAATATCGGTGATGCGTGTGACAGACTTAGTTTGAGTTGAAATTTCCGATAAAGTTGGTTTCTTGGGGTGATTCTGGATTTTGAAGGAGACAATGGAAGAAGAGGAGTTAATGTGGGTGGGTATTGGTGTATTTGGTGCAAAGATGTGATTTGGGAGGTAGGTTCTTTTTGTGGGTTTGTGTATTTTTAGGGAGTGAAATGGGGTGTGCCTGCTGTAAGCCCTCTGCCATTGAGGATAGTAGGGAGAGTCCAAGGGAGAGGCTATCCAGTAAGACATCTTCAGATTTGAGAGTCCCGAGGGCAGTTTCTTCCAGAAGAGAAGAAGGGTATAGAGTGAAAGATCGGCTGGAGAATAATGAAGGGAGGGTAGTTTTGATTGACAAGCAAATTAATGGTTCAGCCAGGTTGCATGGTGAGAATATTGAGAGGAAAAGGGAGAAGACTGAGTATATTGTTACAGCCTCTGGCCATCCTGGAGTGGGCAGAATGCCAAGAGCTACAGAAGGGGAGCAGGTTGCTGCTGGTTGGCCACCCTGGTTAGCTGCTGTGGCTGGTGAAGCTATCAGAGGATGGGTGCCTAGGCGTGCTGATTCTTTTGAGAAGTTGGATAAAGTACGCTTCTTTGTTGCACCAAGTTTTGGGATTATCCAGTAATATGGTTTGAGAAATGAGTAAATCAGTTGCATTTAATCTTTGCATGTCTTTTATTTGTTATTTCGCTTGCTATAAGTCAGTGTTGATAGAAGTTAAAATCCAATTTGGCTATATCAGATTGAGTGCTTATTAGTTTGATAACAGAGTAATTTACACCGTCATATGAACAGATAATAAGATGGTTATTGATCCAGCCGCTTAAAATTCAGAATCAGATGGCCCATCTCCAGCTTTAACCCTAACAGAGTAATAGACCTGCTTGGTAACAAGCTTATCATTTTCCATGCCTTGTTCCTTTATACTAAGGAACAAAGTAGTCTGATGTGTGTCTATACTACGTTGCCCTCTTAAAAATGCTCATGCTTCCTAGACAGGTGTAGCTTGCAAAAAATTCTCCAAATTTTGAAGTGATTAGCCTAAACCAGGGTTTGTACTTACCAGGCAATAAAAAATTTGACTTTGATGGGTGCTATGAGAAATTGGTATGTTCACAATTTAAAAAAGTGCTAATTCTACTCATAGCAGTTGTGAATTGCTTTTGCTGACCAAATAGTTTGTATTTTCTTGAAATGGCTGAATGTGCATAATGTTCCTGACAATTTATCTGCTCTCCCCTGGCGTCGAATCATTTAATTTTTCCGGCGGCTACTTGCTATAAGACCCCCATTCATTCATTGCTTTCTCTGCATCAATGAGCATGTGATATTGTTCAAATATGTACTTCACTTTCTTCTTATATTCTGTTCTTTACTATATTTGTGGTCTAGTTTAGGCCACATAGCTTTTACTTTTCGTTAACAAATTTTGACCCTAGGAATTAATATATCTTATTTGACCGAATCTGGAATTGTGATTTTGTTGAGTTAAATTTTATTTTGGTGTCCCATGGCAAGACACATTCTTAGGTGCATGAACAATCGATATTAAAATAGGTTATCTTCTTTTTGCATAGTTCTGTCTCCAACACTTCACCTGGTCCTTGTGTGTGGCATTTATAGTTACTGGACTTTAGACATGGAAATCATACTTTATAGTTAGTGCTCTATCAAGTTGTCTTTTGTGAAATTGCTGTAAGAACTTAAAGAGCAGCATAAGCATAATCTATCAAAACAAATTGGTAGATTTGGCAATGATTTAGATCATTGTAGAAAATTAAGAATCTGAAGGAAAGAAGTGACTGACTAATGACAGAAAGATAAACGTAAAAAAGAAGGCTGAAATGTAGTAGATCATTCCTTTTTTATATTTGCCATTGGCAAGCTTTAAGATTCTTACCTTTTGACTGTACCTTTGATTAAAAAGTTGTCTTTCTTCAGTTTTAACTGACAAATCTTAAGGACTGCCAATTTATTGGAAACATTTGTTTTGGAAGTTTGGTTAATCTTTTAGTACAAGACAAGTGAAATAATGGCCCATCTGCTAGGTGTATATGCTTGCTGACATAAGCTGCAGATTATCTCATAATCTTTACACTGTGAAGATGATATTACCTCTTTATTTTTACCTTAAGTTCAAGCATTTATTGATTCTACTGTTGCTGCACTTATCCCATCAAAAGGAAACAAGAGAAATAGAAGAGGGAAAAATATCTACTGATACTGAATTTTGCTAAATTGAGTAAGCTGCAGTCCCTTTATATACTAAAATGAATATCTTAAAAATTGGGATCTATCCCTCTTCTTTTGTGTTAGTCAGTGATACTAATTGGTAGTCTGGATATTGATTGTTTTTCTATTTATGTAGATTGGCCAGGGAACTTATAGCAATGTTTATCGTGCTCGAGATCTTGATCAAGGCAAGATTGTGGCTTTGAAGAAGGTAAGGTTTGACAATCTGGAGCCTGAGAGTGTTCGTTTCATGGCTAGGGAAATTCACATTCTTCGCAGGCTTGATCATCCTAATATAATCAAGTTGGAAGGTCTAGTTACATCCCGGATGTCTTGCAGCTTGTACCTTGTTTTTGAGTACATGGAGCATGACCTAGCGGGTCTTGCATCACACCCAGGGCTAAAATTCACTGAACCACAGGTATTGACATTGAGCTTCAAATTGTGACTCAAAATCTTCTCTTATATTGTAGCATTGCTATTTTATTTTTCCCCTATCTTGATAAATAATTGTTACTCTTATTCAGATCTTCCGATATAGTAACGGCATCTTTTTACATCTGAATGAGACATATCTGTGCTATATGAGCACTAGACAAGGGAATGACATAAGGGTCATCATAATTCCCAAGTAAAACTGCACATTATTCTGTTTGCTCCACTTGGATGCTTGGGATAATATAGTGTCTGGTTTATATATTTTTAGGTTAAGTGTTACATGCAGCAGCTTCTACGTGGGCTCGATCACTGTCACAGGCATGGTGTTCTGCATCGAGATATAAAGGGTTCCAATCTTTTAATTGACAATAATGGCATACTGAAAATAGCTGACTTTGGTCTGGCAAGTTTCTTTGATCCTCATCAGAGCCAGCCCTTGACAAGCCGTGTTGTGACTCTCTGGTACCGGCCACCTGAACTTCTACTTGGGGCTACTTATTATGGCTCTGCTGTGGATTTGTGGAGTACTGGTTGTATTCTTGCTGAACTTTATGCTGGCAAGCCTATCATGCCCGGACGAACAGAGGTATGTTAATTTGTTATTCTGCTTATGCCTAATATATAGGACCAATATCCAGATATGAAACAAGCCCCTTTGGAAATAGGGTATAGAGTTCTCTTTTGTGAGCATTGGTTCTCTCTCCCTCACTGCAAAACAAGAAAAAAAGAAAGGTGGAATGTTTATATTCTCATATAAAAGAAGCTTTATGAGAAAACTAAATGACAAGTTGCTCTCTTGAACCAATCTGTTAGTGAAATTGACAATAGTTAGTCATAAAATTTTGTATTTTTAACCTTTTAACTTGTGTTTTCATCTTATGGTTTTTGCCTTGGCCCCTCCTGGGCATATTTGAGCAGATATTTGCTTCAATCCTTGTAGGTTGAGCAGTTACACAAAATCTTCAAGCTTTGCGGTTCACCCTCTGAGGAGTACTGGAGAAAGTCGAAGTTACCTCATGCAACTATTTTTAAGCCCCAGCAACCTTATAAACGTTGTGTTGCAGATACATTTAAAGACTTTCCTGCACCAGCATTAGCTTTAATGGAGGTTCTACTATCTATAGATCCTGCTGATCGTGGATCCGCATCTTCTGCTCTCCAGAGTGAGGTATGAAGCTTTTTACAAACTATTGATGCAAGGTTGCCCTCTCTTTCCAGCAAAGACTGAAAGAGAAGAGAGCATGGAAGATCAATGAAGGACCTCGGGAAAACCAGAAACTTCTAATTAACAACTTAAAGGAGGTTAATAGGAGATTATAGGAATTAACTGTAAATGTTATGGAGCTTTGTAGAATTCCTCGCCAGCGCTCAATGTAGAATAATAATACCATTGAGTAACAGCAAGACCTGCAACATGGTGTTATTTGCATATTAAAGTTTGAAAGTGTGTTGATTATTTGCATATGATCTCCATCTCTGCTCATGTTTTTGCAAGTTTTGGTTAAAAAAAAAACAGCACATCTACGTATTTTCTCCAAAAAAAAGGCCCACTGAAGGCTTGGCTATCTACTATCCCAATAAATTCTATTTCTCGTTTCTCAATCCTATCAATTGGATGAAATTTAGTATCATAACTTACTGTTATGAACCATGTTATGCATTTTTATATGTAATTCACTGAATGCGTCCAATGGAATCCATGATATTACTTCATTATACTGTGTACCCATTCCATCAGTAATAGTTATGATAGATTTCATGGACTTGCATCAACAATTCCATCACCAATTCATTAGCTTATAATGACTTGTCAAAGAAATTTCCAAATATTTAATTGTTGAAATTTTTGCTTAACCTGTCTAATTTGGTTTTGCAGTTCTTCATAACAAAACCACTTCCTTGTGATCCTTCGAGCTTGCCAAAGTATCCTCCCAGTAAAGAGTTTGATGCGAAAGTTCGGGATGAAGAAGCTAGAAGGTAAATTGAACGATTAAGATCAATTAATATTGTATTTTTATGTTATTAATATCAATGCTGAATTTTGAGTTTTTATTAGCACAAAGTGCCATGCTGTCTTGTTTATGCTTTAACAAATTTCTAAATGGTGAAAGTGGTGACTCAGTAGCTAACTTTGTTTTATGTTGTATACAGACATGCGGCAGCAGGAAGCAAGGGTCACAGGTATGATCAAGAACGGAAAGGGACAAGAGAATCTCGTGCTGTTCCAGCACCTGATGCCAATGCTGAATTAGTCCTTTCAATGCAGGTAACAACTGTTGTAATGTTTTTAAAGGAGGACCTCCTGCATTTTCTGTAAGGGCAAGCCCAAAATTTATGTGGTGAATTTCTGAACCCAGAAAAGACAAGGTCAGTCCAATTCCAAGAGCAGAAGTGAGATGTTCAACTCTCATCAGGAAGAAGTTGCTTCTGGTTTTCCAATTGACCCACCTAGACCATCCCAGGCTGTTGATGAAGCAAGCAATGATCCCCAGGGCAATCTCCATAAGAGGGGTTCCCATTCTGGCCCACTGGTACACCGGGCTGCCTGGGCAAAAGCTGGAAAGAATATGGAAGATGCTCCAAAGATTTCAAATGGAGCTGACTTGTCTGCAATGTCTGGTTTAGTTGCTGCAAGGAGGAGTGTGCTCTCTGAGGAACGCAGTGAGAAGTCTGGTCCTTCTCAGCAGGAAGTTCCCAAACTTATTGCAAGATTTCCCGGATCTTTCAAGGAGACATCGAATTCCTCAATGAAGCAAGATCAAAAGAATCAAGTGGTCACAGGATCTTATCAAAATGAGGATGGAAGAACCAGCAATAACGATCCCGTTCTGGTAAGAACTCTGCTGACATGATAGTTTTTAATTGCCACTATCGCATCCTTTATCGTCATAAAATGCGGAACCTCTAATTTGTTAGCGCTGTTCATAAATAAAGTTCTTGATGTTGATGTATTCATGTGCTCAAGACTTACTTGCTTTCTCTATTTAGATTGGGTACGGGTCAAAGGGCAATAAAATCCACTATTCAGGACCGATAATAGTACCATCAGGCAAAATGGACCAGATGATGAAAGATCATGATCGCCAAGTTCAAGAAGCTGTAAGACGAGCACGCTTGGACAAGGCAAAATTACGAAAATCTCAGGCTGATGGAAACCAGTTATCAATTAATTCACTATTTGTTTCTGGCCGATGAGTTGTTATTAGGCAAACTATACTGCAAAAAGGAAGGGAAGAGGCCACTCTCTGTTGTACAATTGAGATATTCTGGCTAAGTGGGAGGAGCTGTATAGGGGTAGTTCCACGAATATGGCTGGGGGCCGTTGTTTGGCCGGCCAGATGTAGAAGAATTAAATAGGAAATGTTGTAGTTCCCTCACTCCTGCTTAAGCTGTCATAAGCATTTTATTGTAGCTCAACAAACTCTGCATGCGAATAGTATCGGCCATTTTTATAGAGCTTGATTGTCAGTTTTAAATTGAACTTTATGGCTTGTAGCCCAGAATTTTCCAAGATGCTCGGATGTGAATATTGCAGGAAGCATATGCATTGATACAGCAGACTTATTAGGGGCAAACATGCAGCTTCCACAAAGGTGAATTTGCTCGTTTGGCTGGTCCAAAATCTGAATCGAGTTCTGCTGGTAATACAAACTGAAATAGATAGTCCTTGCTGCAATGCCAAGTTGAATCTGCTACCTGAGACAAAAGGAAAGCCTTTTCTTGCCAAATTTGCAAGTGTTGTTCACTTCATCTACAATGGCTTCCATAATATCAGTCTGGTATTCCATAAAACTGCATCTTTAGACTGTTCCAGGCTTGAATCCCAAGTTCAGAATCAACCACCTGATCAGAGGGCAAAGCTCCCACTTAGTGCAACACAAGAATTACACATAGAATCCCGCCAAGATCAGACCCAAATTCCAACTTTAGCTGTTTTTAGCATGCCCTTTCCTATTTTGGGCAATAGTTTACAAGTCGCACCCACATCTTTGATAAAAGTACCAAAGTTTCCCATTTTTTATTTTTCTGGTCCTTGGAAGGTTGCAATCGTCTTACTAGGTCTGTGTATCTACCAATCCTTAACACAAAATCTCTTTAGCCTCCTCCTCTCCTGTAATTTAGGATTAATAGGTTATACAATAGTTGTCGTTTTCGAAAAAAAAAGGAACGTTGCAATCGTCATCTTGAAGATGACATTTGAGATTCTATGAAGTATACAATCTTATCCTATGTTAAACTTCCTGGCAAGTTGATATTTTCTATAATATTATGTAGATCAGTTTATTAAATCAATATTGAAGCACTTTTTATGAATATGGGAGATAGAAAATATGATTGAATTTTTTTTTTTTTTTAAAAAAAAAAGAGATTGAAAAACGTAATCTAATGAGTTTTTTTTTTTCCCATATAATTTGCTAACCCGGACACAAGTACTAATGCTAACAAACTCGGATCCTAAAACCAAATGGCTTTCATTATTCAAAGTTCAAACCTACTTGCCAATAGTTTATTTTAAACTCATTTATCTATACTTATTAGTACCATTTTCTTAGCCCCGGGCGTTTCACCAGCAAGGAAAGGTCCAAGAAGAGCTTCGTGTTTTTTTCCTTGCTTTTCCTTATCTGGTAAACTTCGAAAGCAGCATTTTGAAAACCCCAACCAAAAAAAAAACTAATTAATTACTCAGAAGACTACGTGCAGTTCCTGCGACCACGTCTTACTTAGTAGTATTAATCTCCATGTAATCACATTTCTCATCTACCAACAATAAATAATAATCAATCCCCATTCAAATATTAATCATATTAAAAAAGCTGCTCATTTCCGCCGCCCTTCACTCCGCCTCTCTCGGCCGCCGAACCACAATCCCACGCTACAAACAAACAAAGGAGAAACTTCACAAGCTCCACGATATTAGAGTAAATACAATATTGAACGACAAAAAATCGAAGCATTACACGGTCTGAACTCTGAACTTCCAACCTCGGTTACGAGCTCCAATGCTGTAGCGTTCGTGCTTTGAGCTCATAATTTCACCTGCGGTTAGTTTTCTTCAACCTAAAACCTAGATTTTTTTTCCTTTTTTTTTGAAAAAAAAAAACTTAAAGTTTCGATTTCTATGAACAGTTACGAAAAGGCGATTGTGCGCTTTTTTTGAGTTACCGAGAATTAACTCGGTTGTTTAGGTTTGGAAGTTTTTTAAGATTTCACAAAGGCAAAAGAAGCAAAAAAGGAACCTTCGTGACGACGGGCTTACAGGTGTAAAGGTTTGTTGCACTGCTCCTTTTTCTTTTAATAGTACGTTTTCCAATTCAATGTAATCATTTGCTCTCTAATTACTAGTAGATTATACCTGTGTTTGCATAATAACATATTGTTAGAATAGATGTGACGTTTCCGCTTAATTTCGTTCTCAGTTTGAACTTTAATGGTGATGAACAGGAGGGGATTAGCTTTAATGGGATTGTTAAATTACTTAATTCAGTTTGAGAAAAGATATGATTATGGTATACTCCTGCTATTAGTTTATAATAAAAAAATGGGTTCATCAGTCAAATGGTTTAACTTATTAGTACAGGAGGACTTAGTGAGAATCGGTCATTGGAAATTGGAGATACATCTGGGACTGTTCTCTGCTCACATCTTGAGTAGGAGTAATTCTCTTTTACTCCTACTTTAATAAGAATCCATTTCAGACGACGCTAGGTCCACATTCCACAAGAGTGTTCAGTGAATTTACACTATTACCCCCCTTTCCCATTTCAGGGAGTTTGAGGATGCGAATCAGCCACGTATACGTGATGAAACTGAATCAGGAGTCAGTGGCATTGCAGATAACAAGTGGTCCCTAGGATTTCCAAAACAAAGAATAAACCAACGGACAACCAAATCTAGTTATGCTTGCTTATTACTACTTATTAGTATTCAATATATATATATATATATATATATTGGGAGTACTGTACAATTTTAATGAAAATACGGACATTTCATGGCAATGCAATAGGTCAAGTACATCCTCAACCCGCAGGGCCTGAATTTTGTGTGAGGAAGGATTTTCTCTCTCTCTCTCTCTCTCTCTCTTTTTTTGCCGGGAGGGTGGTGTTAAATATTTCATATGTGGGTTTCCTTTTTTTTCCCACCTTCTTTTTTCTTTATTCTTTCCTTTTTGTTTTTGTTTGTTTGCTCTTGCAGTAGTGTTGGAGAGGAAAATACCTCTGTATTTTGTGAGGCTGTGGTGCTTCCTTTGGAAAAAGCACACCTGTTTTGTTTTTGTTAAAAGTTTCTAGTGTGTGGTTCGAGTTCTTTCGTTTGCTATTGCTTCATCTCAAACTCAACAAGCTCCGCGCAGCTTCTACCTTTCAGACTTTCCTTTTGGTGATAAACTGGTAGCTTGCTTTATCTCCATCTCTCTCTCTCTCTCTCTCTCTCTCTATGTATACGTCTGTGTATGTATGTACTTAAGTTGTTGTGTTGATAAACAAGATTTTGAATGCATAATCATACTGCATGGTCACTACTTCTGGGCCGTATGAAATTTTCTTTCTAGCCTTTTTTTCTTCTGAATAGCGTTTATGGGATTTTCTTCTACGGGTTTTGTTTGTTGATGGAGTTTCACTTTCTTTAATGTGGAAAGTTCAAAGTTTGGTGCTTTATGCTCATTTCTACATCTCTTAACGTTCGCAGGAAGGTTTTGGTGTGGTAAAGTGATCACTGAGGTTTAGGGCAAATAAAAGGTTTTGGTGGTTTCTGTGGTTAAGATGTGTTTTTGATTCGAAAATGGCTGTGGTGGAAGTCAAAGAATGTGTTGAAGGTCTAAGATTTCTTCCTTTTCTTTGGCTTGGGTTTGTGTTTCTTGGGCTTCACCCTAGTAGAGGTGGAGACTAATGGAAGGTTCATCTGAATCTGGCTGGCAGAGGTCAGATAGCTCTAGGGGTTTAAATTCTTCTTCGGTTTTGGAGGGGAATCTTCGACTTGTTCGTGCCAACACTATCAGGTCCTCAGGAGATACGTCGTCTGAGTTTGGGTTTAGACCAGGAAGAAAAGTGAGGGAGAGAATTGTGCTACCTCATATAACTAACCAGTTTAAAACCTATACTGGGGGCTTCGAGGAGGGAGTAGCTCTGGACCCAGTTGTTCGTGCCATAGAATGTAATGATATCAGTCTGAGACAGTGGTTGGACAACCCAGAAAGAACTGTTGATGCTCTTGAATGCTTACACATATTTACTCAAATTGTAGATATAGTTAACCTGGCTCATTCTCAGGGAATAATCCTCCATAATGTGCGGCCCTCATGCTTTGTCATGTCCTCACTTAACCGTGTGTCTTTCATTGAATCTGCTTCTTGCTCGGATTCGGGTTCAGATTCGTTTGAGGAAGGAACAAACAGCCAGACGGCTGAGTTTAAAGGTGCGTCTTCGCCTTTGCCTTCAGACTTGCCCCAACGAGGAAGTCAGCTAGCTACTGAAACCTTGCAACTTGAGATGAATCCCCTAAATGCATCTCGAATAGTATCTGAAACAAGTTGCATTAGGTCAAGCGCCAGACAGGCTGAGGTTGCACCAAATGATGACCAGACGGAAGAAAGGAAGCATTCCTTCCCAATGAAACATATATTGTTGATGGAAACCAATTGGTACAATTGTCCAGAAGAAGTTTCTGGTGGCCCCAGTTCCAGTGCTTCAGACATTTATCGACTGGGGGTTCTTCTCTTTGAGGTTAGTATCAGTTACCGAGATCCTGAAATGACGACTTACTGTAAATCATGGTCTCCTCAGTTCAGTGTTGTATCGAATAATAAATAAGCTTGTGTTTTACCTCTTTCCTCTCTGATAAATATTTTGCTGATGAACAGTTGTTCTGCACATTTAGCTCGGTGGAAGAGAAAAGTGCAACTATGTCTAGTCTGAGACATCGTGTTCTCCCTCCTCAGTTGCTTTTGAAGTGGCCTAAAGAAGCATCATTTTGCCTATGGTTGTTGCATCCTGAGCCAAGTAGTCGGCCAAAAATGGGGTGGGATTTACTGCACTTTTACCATTTCAACTTCACCTGTTCCAAAGATGTTTTTGTTCTCTGCTGGTTGAAGTTATCCGCCATAATAGCCAACTTCTAAAAAGGATATATATGGATACTCTTAGTATGTTGTGTTCTATAGTGCTAATGGACTCGTCATACAAAAATCTGCTTTTTCAGAAACCCTAGCACATGTCATATTGGGTTTCCTGGAAGAGTGTGAAGCCAATTATGGCTTCTGGACTTGAAACGTACCTTTAATCTCTCACTAAAATTTTTGTGATGTCTTGCAGTAGTTTGTTTTTTCCTTCTGTTGCATTTTGCTGCTTTGGATGTGTATTAGTCCTCAGACATTGCCAAAAGATTTAGAGAAAGGAGAGGGACAGGCCACTAGCATAAATTTATGGTCTGACTGATGCTTAAGCTTGTAATTCAGAAGTGCATGAGCACTACTGTTACCACTTAGTCTCAGGCTATTTCTACACTAGTAACTAAGATTTTAAGGCTACCATCAAGACTTGAGATGCTACCTCTCCTGGCTTTTATTGCAAAGTACATCCCTTGGTTGTCTTTGTGCCTTTGTATGGGTTCTCCCCAACATTTTATGCTTTCAATAATTGGTTATTGGTCTCGTTTCCATACTCAATCACATGATGCAGGGAGTTGTTGCAAAGCGAATTTCTAAATGAACCAAGAGACAACATTGAGGAACGTGAGGCAGCAATAGAACTTCGAGAAAAAATAGATGAACAAGAGCTGTTGCTGGAATTTTTGTTACTATTAAAGCAAAGGAAACAGGATGCAGCAGATCACTTGCATGAAATGGTGTCCTTTTTGACTTCTGATATCGAAGAAGTCACAAAATTGCAAACTGCCCTTAGGATAAAAGGAGGCACAAGCATAGACCTGGTGAAGGATTCAGCTTCAGGGCCCCCTTCATCCAATACAGTAGATGAGGGTGATTCTGGTAGCTCAGGGTCGAGAAAACGATGCAGGCCTGGGCTTTATACCCATAATGCGGAGGAACTTGATGATCCTGTTCCAGAAAACCAAGCAACTATTCTTTCTAAGAGTTCCCGACTCATGAAAAACTTTAGAAAATTGGAGTCAGCTTACTTTTTAACTAGGCGGCGGGCTCTCAAACCATCTGGAAAAGTATATGCCAGAAGTTCTCCAATTAGTAGTGATGCAAGAGGATCAGTTGTAGCGACAGAAAGAAGTTCTCTCAGTAAGTTGTCATCAAAAGAACAATATAATGAGGATAGACAAAGTGGATGGATAAATTCATTTCTTGAGGGTCTGTGCAAGTATTTGTCATTTAGCAAGTTAAAGGTGAAGGCAGACTTGAAGCAGGGAGATCTTTTAAATTCTTCCAACCTTGTATGCTCCCTGAGTTTTGATCGTGATGGAGAGTTTTTTGCAACTGCTGGTGTGAATAAGAAGATCAAAGTCTTTGAATATAATTCGATTCTAAACAAAGACCGTGATATCCATTATCCTGTTGTTGAAATGGCTAGCAGATCAAAGCTAAGCAGTATATGTTGGAATGGATATATTAAGAGCCAGATTGCTTCCAGTAACTTTGAAGGTGTGGTTCAGGTAAATCAATAGACTTGAACTCTTGTCCACTTTTTTTTTTTTTTTAAGAATAAGAAAAAATTAAAAATTGGCTCGTCTCCTTGAGATATTTTCAGGTATGGGACGTTACAAGAAGTCAAATCTTTATGGAAATGAGCGAGCATGAGAGCCGTGTCTGGTCCGTTGACTACTCAGTAGCTGATCCAACATTGCTGGCTAGCGGGAGTGATGATGGTTCTGTTAAGCTCTGGAATATCAATCAGGCAATTCTATTTTTGCACTTGGTGGATGTCAGCTTTGAAACTAAACGTACTACAGTCATCTAATTGTTATTGCTGTATAGGCTGGGTTCTTGATGTGTAATAAGTTGTTTTTCTTACATGGGTTGCTACTGCAGGGAGTAAGCATCGGTACCATTAAGACAAAGGCAAATGTCTGTTGTGTTCAGTTTCCATTTGAATCCAGTCGTCGCCTTGCATTTGGATCAGCAGACCATAAGATATACTATTATGATCTACGCAATTCTAAGATGCCTCTCTGCACGTTGATTGGACACAACAAGACTGTGAGCTATGTTAAGTTCGTAGATTCGACAACACTTGTGTCTGCATCTACAGATAACACATTGAAGCTCTGGGACTTGTCAATGTGCACAGCTCGGGTTCTTGATTGTCCCCTTCAGTCATTCACCGGGCACTTGAATGTGAAGGTAGAGCTTTTTGTTTTATTGCTTGATATTGTGTATCATTTTAGAAATTGTAGCTTGGTCTTTTAGTCAGGATGTTGAGTAAGTTGGGGACAGTTAAAGGTTAATTCTGACGATTGAATACCACTATGCTGTCTTTGTATTGAGTTTTTCCATTTTGTTTAGTAAAGTGGCCCTACAGAAATATCATGACTTAGTGTCTGCTATATCATTTCAATTCATTTGGTATTCTCATTGAAATTGATATATAACTAAAATTGTATGGTATCAAGTATGATAAGGTCAGGCAAATGTGTTAACAAATTTAGTTTTGCTATCATTGATAATTGATCTTTATTTAAAGCTAGTTTGGGAGTTCAGGATAGAAAAGAAAAGAAGAGAAAGGTTAAGTTATGAGAGAAAAGAAATGATAAGAAAAGAAGAGAGGAGATTTTAATGTTGTTTGGGAGTTTGTGTAAAGAAAGGAGATGATTTTGGACGCATTGGTCAATAAATATTCCATTCAATAGCTTCTCAAGGATAGAATGGGCAATTTAAAAATTTTTTTGTAGCCTTTCCGTAGCTTTCCTTCGCTTTCTGGCCGATTTGGGATGGAAAATTTTTTTTAACTGTAGCAGATCTTCTTCCTTCCAAATCAGCTGGATTCTTTTCCTTTCTGTTCCACTAAAACTCTCAAACGTGGGAAATACCTACTTTTTTCTTCCCTTCGTTTCTTTTCCGCTCAGATCTCATCTCCCAAACTAGGCAGTAGGGTTACAAACGGGACATTCTTTTCAGTTCTTTCAATTTTCAGCTCATCTAAGCAGTGGAATTACTATAATGCATACAAGTTCTTTTTCATTATACTTTCCAAGGCCCGTTGAGATGATTAGTTCATTGTGAGAGGCAAAATACATATAGCTTTTGTATTCAGTATCTTTTTTTCCAACTATATTGAGAAAATAAAGTCTGGATGAGGTTTTGGGAGTGGTCTTTATCAGCAATTGATGTTATTTGGAATGAAATTATTAAAAATAAGCAAAGAAAATAAGGTTGTTAGAAAAGAGAGGAAGAATGTGCATATGCATTGCTCCTAGCCTCCTAACACACACACCCCCCCCCTCCTTCTGTTCTCCCTCTAGTTTTAATATTCATTGATTCATTTTGTTGCATATGCATCTTGATCATTAAGTTGAGGTAAAACCCAAATTCTGCTTATAGAAACATCTATGGTTTTCATCCTTAATGTGGATACATCTTTGTTGCAGAACTTTGTTGGCCTATCTGTATCTGATGGTTACATTGCAACGGGATCAGAGACAAATGAGGTATCCCATGCTTTGCACAGCAGTTTACACGATCTAATTTTGATTTCTGCTGTAGTTATGTATGATTGTCCTTGGTTTTTCTTCCTTAAACTCTGCATTGCACTGAAAGTTTCTCTGCTTTGTATGCTACTAAATGCCTCAAGAATGTCTAGTCATAATTACCTTTTTCTGGTCTTGGAAGGGTGGGTTCACATTTACTTTGTTCCTGAAAAGTCAGTTTGAGTTCACATCTGTTGCCAGCACTTCCCCCTTCACAGCTCTATGTGATGATTACGAAAGGTCGAATTACTGCGGTGGAGTCACCCTCGTTTGTTACATCCCATGTTTGTTCTGTCATATTCCTCCAGTCCCTCACAAAATCTTTTAAGCCAATTTACTGGTATGTTATATGGTACAGCAGTGAATGATCACCTGTTCAGTGATTGGTAAATGTAGTTTTGTCTTTGGTTTTCTGGTTACAGGTTTTTGTATACCACAAAGCTCTTCCCATGCCTGCGTTGTCATATAAATTTAACATCACAGATCCGCTTTCGGGTGATGAAGTGGACGACAGTGCACAGTTTATCTCCTCTGTGTGTTGGCGTGGTCAGTCATCCTCCACCTTAGTTGCTGCTAACTCCACGGGAAATATCAAGTTGTTGGAGATGGTTTGAGCTAAGTCTTAAAGAATGAATTCCAAAAAAAAAAAAAGAGAGAGAAAATGGAATACAGCATCAGCGGAAACACAGATTAAAAGAGTGGCTTATACCCAAGGAGCATTTTATCGAGGCCTGCTCCACTGAAGGTTGAAGTCACTAGGAACATCAACAGCAGCCTGCAAAACAAATTTTTGCCTTTTAGTAGAATAGCGGATGGTTAACTGGAGCACTGAGATTCGTCATTGTTCAAGTGTACTGTAGATAAGAAATAGAAAGAGGAGCCCGAAAGGAAAGATAAAACGCTGATTTTTCTATGTATATTCTTGTAATTTTTAGAATTGCAATCATTGATATAGAATATACTACTATATATGTATTATGATATTGACTCAATGGATGGCAATAGCGACTCAGAGCAACAATTTCACTCTATAAACCTAAAATACCTTTACACAGCCAATGACCTACTATTATTTACCGCCATGGCTTTGGTGCTCCAGCCCTCTCCCCGCTCCCATCTCCCTTCCAATCTGGAGTAAGAGTCTCCCCATTTCTCTCCCAGCCTCCTCCTCCAAGATGTGAAATTTGTTCTGATCTTATAATTGCTATACCAAGAGGAACAATTTGATGCATTGGATGGTGATTAAATTCTGAACTTCCTTTGTCTCGATCATTCAGAAGTGGATTGTATGTTTGGAATGGGAGGATTGGTGGCTTGATGTACGCCGTTTTCTGGGTCAAATGCAGAGGGGAAGTGGTAAAGGCGGGTTCCTAAAGATGGAAATGGGTTTATAATTCCGAACCTCTTTTAGCAGCTTTTCGGCCATAGCCAAAGACAAACTAACTTTTGATTGGTCAAATCTGACCTGCCACAGTTGCGTGGCATTAGCGACCCAGAAGATGTTGGTTATTACAGTTAGTGAAGCCAGTGCTTTGACACATGAAATCTAAATGGTATCGAATGCACCAGAACTTGAAGAAGGACAGCCACGGAAAGAGAGAGGAAAATAAAAATTTGAATTAGCCCACGATGAATTGAATTGAATAATTGATTCGCGATAGTCATGGCGACTCTTGAGAGAGAAGCGTGCGAGGGGTTTTTTTTTTTTTTTGGGGGGGGGGGGGGGTGGTGGGTACTCACACTAGTTAGAAAATTTTCTGGTGGGACAGAAAAAATGTGGCATCCGGGTAAACCAGGACAAATTAAATGTTTGATCGGTCTCATCTATTACTATCATGTGATAAGCTTTTTGTTTTTAAGCTGTGGTTTATCACAGTGCCATATACCCTACCGTAGAATTTGCCTTGTTACTGGTATATCACATGTGCGAAAAGCATCTTTCCGTGAGAATGATATGTTGGGTTATATAATTGACTCGAACTTCCAGAAACGTGACATTCTTTCTGGTGGGTGACTTCTTTTCAGGTGATTGTAAAGGAAAAGAGGCCACCAGTATGCAGATGCGAGTACCGTGTCCGCTTATTATGTCCATCCAATTATCCCCACCGACAACTGGAAAATATAAAAAGTTAGTATTAGAAAATGAGTTAAAAAGTGCATTTTTTTTTTTTTTTTACCATTCAGCATTATCTATTCTGCTTCTACGCTCGAGCCCGTTAGAGACTCGACGAAAATTGAATTACCGTCGAATCAAAACGGATGCACTATACACTCGTATAGATTTAGAGAAGTCACGTACAATGACAAGCGATAGAAAATAAATTTTGAACATTTGATCTCCCAAGCCATTAAGATTTTAGTCTTTGATGGTAACAAACAGCGCAACTAGTGTGAAATTCGGTTCCTTCTTAAGAACCGACTACACTGGACTCGAATTTGAATTTGAGTTTTACATTAAGAATCTCTCGAGTTTAAACTTGATAAAATTAATTAATAAATTAATATGAGTACTACTTAATTATGCCAAAATTGGACTAGATTCATTGAGAACCCTGGTCATCAATACCATATAAAGATTGCGTCGGCTGAGCTGCCGAGCGACTTTTGTCGTTGATAAAGTTTTGCGTCGGCTGATCTGTAACTGTTTGCCAGCAAGAAATCGTCAAAAAATGACGCGGATGTAATTGTTTTCAACAAGTGATCACGAACACAGATCCAAATCCACATCAAAAGAAAGAAAAGAAAAACATGTTCCGATCCTCGGATAAACGGACTAGGAACATGTACGGTGATGCCAGAAGCAGGTATTATTACCATTGCAGTCGAGAAAGCTGCGTTTTTACGATCAAAGAAAAATGATGTTAACTGTGCAGTGTCATTGTTATAATACTCCAGCTTCCAACAAAGAATCGTTGGGGCTTATGGAAGTAAATTTAGCTTGCCCTTTTTAATCTGCAAGTAAGAATGATACACTATAATCTACTTACACTGATTCTCACTAAATCTTGGGGACAAAACTATATTATCTACTAGACCGCGCAGGCGTTCAGCATCAGGGCCTGGTTTCAGCTTCGCAGGATTTCCAACCTTCGAGCAACGAGGTTTACCGCGGCACCAACCACCGGGTGTGAAGCTACCATTTTTGCGACCGAGGAACTCGTTATCAAGTTTATCTAATACAGGATCATTTGCCCTGAACTTACGAGCAAATGGAGCACCGCTTGCAATCATTGGAGCTGTGTCATTCAGGTGGAGGGTTTTCGGATGCTGTTTTGGGGGATTATCCCAAGCTATGTAGTGCATGTCATGGTTGACAATAGTGGGTACAAATTCTGGGGCATTGCAAACAACTGTCTGAAAATACCCCTCAGGAGAGGATACAAAATTTGTATAGTACATTAGTAGAGTTCTAGGAAGGTTATCCCAACCCCAGACGCAGTACTCCACAAAAGCACGCGACAGGATCATCCATGCAGAACCTGTAAAAGAGGGAATTCGTGTAAAGCTAGGCCACAGCTCTTAGAAAATGATAAAATAGGTAAAATCTCTAGAGAGAAACGTTTCAATCCTAAAACCTCAACCTCACCAACAGTTTCCGTTCCATGTTTCAGAAAAAAAGACCATTACAACAAAAGTTCCGACAGAGCACAATTTGCAATAAGTTTTGTTTTGTGTATTTGCCTACATGTCCTTCAGAACTCTGTTACGAGTTACTGCAATCAGCAATTTCAATACACAAAACACTGTAGACAGATACTGCAAGGATAAAATTGAAAGAAGGTTGTAAAGGGAGAGATAACATTGATAGGAAACAAGAAAAGCAGGGTGGTCTGCAGAACAGTTGGAAAAGATATCAGCCTAATTTCCCAGTAAGAGAAAGACATATGCAATCAGCAACTGAACTACCCATCAGGGATACAAGCTATAACTCAATACGCTGCATGGCTGAGAAAGGAACTATGCAGAGGAAAGAAGATATCAGAATATGGAGAAAGACAATTATCCAAGCGGAGGAAAAGCAATGATTGAATTGGACGGTCAATAGGAAAATACAATTTGGCCATGGTAAGAGGCCAGGTTTGGCTTTCAGGACCACTTCTTTGGCAGAGGGGCACTTATCTTGACATGGTACATCGGCACATAAAATTTGCCATATTGAAAAAAACTAACCAGTAAAGAGCTTAAATGCAGTGGGCAAAGTTCTCTTAGGTTGGACCCAGAATATATCAGACTTTGTGTCCTGGTAGAGCCCGGGATCCACGACCAACGGCATTGCCCTGTGATTCCTGAAACACAACCCAATGTAATGGTATTAGGTGCTGATATTCATTTCTTGATAGATGCATGAGCCAAACAAAAAACGCACCAAGAGAGCTTACTCTTTCCAGCCCAATCGGCTAGTGTGCTCGATGAAATTCAAATCCCGCCTTAAACCAGTAAAGGTATGCAGAAGATCTGCAAGGGCAAAATTGAGAAATCAAGGACTTGAATGAAATGAAGAACAATAAGAGCAATCTCCAGCACAAACACTTCAATACCAATTGGTGAATTTCCAATAAAACTAACCATCTTGAGTCACCAATGGGTAGTCTGAAGCACTTAGGTTAATAAACCAATCCCAATCCTTGTGTCTCTTGAGAAGAATGGCACAAGCGTGAAGCGTATTAGAGACCATGGTGGGACCTCTATAAGTAACCATGTTAGCCTTTTTAATCATGAATACGTTCCCAACCTTAGAAAATATGGGATTTTTCTCAAGCCGAGAAGCAAGCTCCAGCCTCTCCTCTGCAGGGGATTCCAGGTCCAAATGTACAACATAATAATTCCGTGGATGATACAATGCATGGAGAGTTCTCCAAAGCTTTTCTAGATCACCTCTTGATCCTGATACCAGATATGCAAAACGCGGAACTGGTGGAGCAGCTGGAGGTGGTGGAGATTGGTTAACCTTTGCTTCAACAAATAATTGGCTCGTTTGATTAGCAGTTGCACGAGAGGGGAACATTGAGAAGATTGAGTTGATGCTTTGCAATGATGAAACCATCCCCATATTGAACGAGGTTGCAATAAGGAAAAGGCATACCAGTGAACTGATTGCAAGAGGAAAAACCCATCTCTTCTCCATGTTCAAGGACCCCATGGCTGAAGTCTATCATGAGTTCAGTTTGCCTCACTTTCTCATCAATTCAGCAACGAAATGTAATTTACTGTCACTGGTCCTTAATGGATTTTTATTGGACTCTACTTTCTGAACCAAATGGCCAAAGAAGGATCAATGCCGCTTCGGAGTGGGTACGGTAATTTGTAGCTTTCAACAATAGCTGATCAATCATGGTTCAAAATAAAACAAAAGCTTAGTCTATGCCTATTTAAATAATCAGCATGATTAAAAAAAACTCGAGCACTCCGTAAACAACTAAACAGAGAGATGATTTAGTTGGAGTATTCACCGTTAAGTAATTAAATAGACAGAAAAAGACGGCCATATTACGTCAGGAAAATCGAAAATGGTTAGCATACCAAACAACAGAGTCAGCAATAAGGCCACAAACGTATCATGCAGGAGCTGATAAACATGTAGTTTCTTTCATCAATTTTCATTTAAGAAAGTAAAAGAAAGAAATGCTAAATAAATCACAGAGAGGAGGAAAAAAAAGAAGAAGAATTTTCCCAAAGTCAAAACAAAATGCTATTGATATTCGTTCCTCACTAGGATTAAAATCTCAATAACCGGACAAACTATTAGCAACAAGAAATTTGATTTGCCAGCACCACTAAATTGTAATACATGAACCGTTTAATTGTATAAAGACGTTCTGAAAAACCCACTTCATAAAAACCCAATCTTAAATTCAGTACATTAAGAGTTCCAAAACAAGATCCTGAGACTCAGCAAAAAAATCTTAATGAAATCGGCCTCAGAACTTCAGAAATCATTCCAACCAGCAAAAAAAACTAAAACCCATTTACAGCAGACAACAACAGAAAAAATAACAGCATTAAAAGGAATGAATCCGTCACGTTCACTTGCGAGGTTCACACGTTCGTGCTGTTTGTG